GAAGGTGATGTGCCGATTCAGGCCACTTAACGAATCGGAAATCACCAGAGGTGACAAATACATACCGAAATTCAAAGGAGAAGACACCGTGGTGATATCGGTAAGATGTCTACAGATGTTATCAAGGCGCGCATTTTCCTTTTTTTGAGCAGGAGGTTATATATGATGTAACTTCAGATAAATATAGGTCTATTAGTCTAACTTGACTCATTGATGTGATCATTTCTGTCTGGATGCATCATATTCGTATGGTTCTTTCAAATTATACCGTTTAATCCTGAATTAAGTCTTAGTTCTTAGTTTTCCCTCTTAGACAGCCCAACATTTAATTTGAAAAACAAATCCTCTTTCATTTGAAAAAGTGTTGCGCTTTGAGTATTTATTTTGCTGTGCGTGTTTTGTTGTTTTTGCGAGAATCGCTCCACACAGAGCTATGTTGAACATGGTTTCTTTTGTTTTTGCTTAAGCGAGTTTGTTTCAATTTTGTATTTTTTGTTTTTTAATTACATACATTATCGACCTCTGCACATAGAGCTGTTGAACATTCCCTTATGGCAGTAAAAAAGATGCAGGACTCACGATGACCCTGCTACGTGTTGTCACAATGAGACCGACCATGAAATAATTGATTATAGGCTTCTCAGCAAAAATTAAACGGCAAAACTGTATGAAACACAAAACAAAAATGTGGAAGGTAATGTACAACAACAACACGTTGTAACTGATAAATTGCGCACATCACATAAAACACGTGGTTCAAAATGTCCAGAGATCACATTTTTCTCTTTTAAAATTTAGGCTACATTTATTGTATAGGCCTAGTTGACTCTTGTCTGGATGTACTTTGTGTTCATACTGAATAGATATAACAATGATATTTTAGGTTTTTGAAATTTTAGTTTGGAGGGCAGAATTGAAAAAAATATTCTCAGACTCTTTGTGACAAATGTCCAACATGTTAACCTTTGAGAATTTCAGTGTTCTCCGTATTCCATCTCACCATAATTTCTTTGTTTACTTTAAAATCATAATTTTCTTAATGACCACCAGTTGTGCCAG